GTCCCCGCCGCCGTCCCGCGCCCACCCGCGTGCCGCCCGCCTGTCCCCGCGCCGGCCTACTGTGCCCCCAGCGCAGGGCAGCGGGATGGCGGGTCCCTGGAGCCCTCTGCGCGCGCCCGCATTGTCCGGCGCTGCAGCCCAGATGCCGAGTGGCCGGTGTTGGCTCTTTCTATAGTTACAGCTGAGGAAGTCATTGCGTTCAAACCCCGCTCTCCCTTTGGTACAATTGTGCCCAGAGGACTTGACGTATTAGGTATATTACTGTTCTGTAGCTGGACGCTAGGGAACAGCTGGTTCCTCGAAGACGCTTCATCCAGGTGATGATGCAGGAAGTAGGTGGCAAGGACAAGCCAGGAGAGCGCAGAACAGAGAGTCAGGGGTCCCTGAGTCCTTGTCTGGGATCTGCCGCTGTAGAGCCAGGACGAGGCATCTCAGCAGCAGTCCCAGTGTCTTTAGCGGTCAAGAGACAGATTTACATTCTCTGCTTCTGTGGCTGATCTGTTGCATCTTATCCGGACAATTGAAGAAAGAGGGCAAGCTCCCCTGGGCACCGGTCATGGCGCTGGGCACGGGGTTACCGCCTCATAAATAACTCCAAGCTCCAGTGTCCAGAATGCCTCTAGTTAGAAGAATGAGGTGACTTTTCCTTTGTAAATGGAGACTTGGAAGGAAGGTGCCTTTAAAAATCCATCTCAAGTGTACCTTTGCTGTGGTGGTCACATTAAATTGCACAGGACTAAATACACGCCTATATATAAGCTTGGTGGATTGTATCAATTTTTTAAAAATAAATTTATTTCTTTATTTCTTTATTTTTGGCTGCGTCCGGTGTTCATTGCTGTGCACGGGCTTTCTCTAGTTGTGGCGAGCAGGGGCTACTCTTCCTTGTGGCGCCGGCTTCTCATTGCAGTGGCTTCTCTTATTGTGGAGTACGGACTCTAGGCACGCGGGCTCGGTAGTTGTGGCGCACGGGCTTAGTTGCTCTGCGGCATGTGGGATCTTTCCAGATGAGGGCTCGAACCCGTGTCCCCTGCACTGGCAGGCGGATTCTTAACTACTGCGCCACCAGGGAAGCCCAGATTGTATCAATGTTGATATCCCGGTTGTGATAGTATGCTATGATTTTCCGGGATGATCCCATTAGGAGAAGTGGGGTACAGGATACAAAGGAGGTCCCTGTATTATTTCTTACAACTACATGTGAATCTATAATTATCTCTAAATAAAAAGTTTAATTTAAAAAGTGGTTGGGGGGAACTTCCCTGGTGGTCCAGTGGTTAAGACTCTGCACTTCCAGTGCAGGGGGCACGGGTTCAATCCCTGGTCAGGAAACCAAGATCCCACATGCTGTGAGGATTGGCCAAAAATAAATAAGTAAACTAAAGAAAAAAAAAGTGGGGGCTTCCCTGGTGGCGCAGTGGTTGAGTCCGCCTGCCGCTGCAGGGGACACGGGTTCGTGCCCCGGTCAGGGAAGATCCCACATGCCGCGGAGCGGCTGGGCCCGTGAGCCATGGCCGCTGAGCCTGCGCGTCCGGAGCCTGTACTCCGCAACGGGAGAGGCCCGAATACCGCAAAAAAAAAAAAAAATCTCAGTTTAAATCTCAGATCTTACCTGGGGCTGAAATATTCAGACCATTAGATTCACTAAAGCATGAAATCATTGCCTTCATAAATCACAGCTGAAGTCGTCTTTAACATTTTATGTTCACTGTATAATCATTGTCAGATCACCCATCTGCCACTTGAGAGTGTTATACTGTCATTCCTTGAACTTAGGTGTAAATTTACCTTCATCCTTTACTAAACATCATTCTGCTGAGTTTGTTTTTTTTTTTAATCTTCACATTAGGCATCCCTTCCAAGTTAGCATCATTTGTATATTTATAAAGCTGTCTACGTTGGGCCTCCCTGGTGGCGCAGTGGTTGAGAGTCCGCCTGCCGATGCAGGGGACGCGGGTTCGTGCCCCGGTCCGGGAAGATCCCACGTGCCGCGGAGCGGCTGGGCCCGTGAGCCGTGGCCGCTGAGCCCGCGCGTCCGGAGCCTGTGCTCCGCAACGGGAGGGGCCACGACAGTGAGGGGCCCGCGTGCCGCAAAAAAAAAAAACAAATTAGATTAAAGCTGTCTACGTTGACATTAATAAACATGATGAAAGGGACAGCACCACGCCGTGTGTGGCCTGCTGTGAGATAGATGCTCTCCTCTCAGCCCCTCATAAATCTTTCATCAACATTCTTGGGATTACACAGTTGAGCACATCTGCCTGTGGTCCTGTCACACCTAAACTTCTGTATCATGTCTGACGTATTATGACAAGACTGTCAATCTTGTGAAATTATCACTGTCTTGTGAATGAAAGGCATAGTCCCAATTTATCAACCTTGCACCTCTTTTGAAAGAATTCAGTATGACATTGAACCAGTGTGGACTTCTAGAGGTGACAGCTTTCTTTTCTAGGAACTCACAGCTCAGCCAGAATTTCTGAGAGTGGAGTATGTTTGTCAGCACATAGCTTTTCTTCTTCTGGAAAGCCCAGGGCACATTTGTTCTGTGTAGCTTCTCACTTTTTGGACTTTCACCTTCACTGCTCAGAACATGAGGCTGAGCATATGCCCTCTGGACCCAAGGAGCATCCTCTAAGCATCCACACCTAGGCATTCAATAGCCTCGGGTGTGTGTGTGCCACCTTTTCAAGTCTGAGGCTTATTTCCTTTGATAGAGAGGAAACAGGTGAAATGAAAGTGAGTTCTGCTTTCACTTGATCAACAGTCAAAGAATTAGTCAAGCAAGGGCAAATTAAACCGATTTTCAGAGATTTAATCAGTAGCTAATCCTGGACTTCCCCGGTGGTGCAGTGGTTAAGAATACACCTGCCAATGCAGGGGACATGGGTTCGAGCCCTGGTCCGGGAAGATCCCACGTGCCACGGAGCAGCTGGGCCCATGCGCCACAACTACTGAGCCTGCGCTCTAGAGCCTGCAAGCCACAACTACTGAGGCCCGCGTACCTAGAGCCCATGCTCCACAGCAAGAGAAGCCACCGCAATGCAACAAAGAGTAGCCCCTGCTCGCCGCAACTAGAGAAAGCCCGCGGGCAGCAACGAAGACCCAGCGCAGCCAAAAATAAATAAATTGATTTTTTAAAAAATAGCTAGTCCTCTCTATGAAACAGAGCTCGAATTATTTTAATTTTTTGTTCTAACAGGAGATTTATAATTATAAAACGTAATGGAGGATGGAGTTCCAGAATTTTGCTTTTACCTTTCACGTTGTAGGGTCAAGTATCCTTCAGTTAGTAAGATCAGTCTTTCTGAAACACCTTTGAGTGGGATAGTTTTTAAAAGGCAGGTTTAGCCGTTTCCTACCTGACTCACAGTGTACCTGAGTTGGGGACCCTATGACTAAGACTTGTAGAGGGTCAGTCAAGATCAGGGAGCACAGGTATGGTGGCAGTTAGAGGAAAGCTTTGACACAATGACTTTGCCCTTAGTCACCAATGTTTGTCATCTTATTCTTGATTCCTACAAGCTATTATTACAAACACTGGAATTTAGCTGCAGATCTTAGATAAAGCTGAGTCTGTACTACCCAGCAACCACTTTCTCCCTCTCACCTTACAAGGATTTTACCCTGGATCTTGTTATTAGTTGGAATATTTACAGATCTCTAGGGGGGAGAGACTTCCTCTTTCTGTGCAGGGGACAGGAGGAGAGACCACTGGGTCTCTCCATGTGCCTGGCACCATGATAGTATTTGTGGCCCCTATCTTTGGAGTTTGCATCCTAGGGCCCAGCAATCATAACTGCAAACAAAGCAGCCACAGCAGCTGAGAAACAGTGACTGTCATTCACGGAGGGCCTGCTGTGTGCCAAGCATGTTATTCAGATGGACTCGGGTCCTCTCAGCAGATTTTCTCAGGGCGTGCATCAGCCCATTTTACAGAAGAAGAAACTGAGACTCATCAGGGTTAAGTAACGTGACTGAGGT